CTCTGGCCAGGGCTAAGGGGGTGCACCCCCGCCCTTCCCCCAGTAAATACATCCCTGCCTCAAGATGGACATTATTCATTTACAATATTCATTATTCGTTTACAATACCTTGTTTTTTCAACGTTGTGGGTTTTTTTCTCAAATCACTAGGACTTAAACCCAATATCAAATTAAACCCCAAATTTCGTTTTTCTTTTAAAACATTGCTATGAAAAGGATTTCGCAAGTTAAAGTATAAAAATTTTCTTCCATTACAAGATTACAATAATTAGAACGTCACAAATATAAGGCTTACAATATTACAGAAATTACAAGAATTACAAGCAGCTGGCAAGAATTTCAAGAATTACAAAATTACAAGACTACAACAGTTACAAGAATACAACAGTTAGAAGAAATACAAGTTTACAAGGATTACAGCAATTACAAGATTACAGCAATTACAAGATTACAGCAATTACAATATTACAGCAATTACAAGATTACATCAATTACAAGATTACAGCAATTACAAGATTACAGCAATTACAAGATTACAGCAATTACAAAATTACAGCAATTACAAAATTACAGCAATTACATGATTACAGCAATTACAAGATTACAGCAATTACAAGATTACAGCAATTACAAGATTACAGCAATTACAAGATTACAACAATTACAACATTACAACAATTACAAGATTACAGCAATTACAAGATTACAACAATTACAAGATTACAGCAATTACAAGATTACAGCAATTACAAGATTACAGCAATTACATGATTACAGCAATTACAAGATTACAGCAATTACAAGATTACAACAATTACAAGATTACAGCAATTACATGATTACAGCAATTACATGATTACAGCATTACATGATTACAGCAATTACAAGATTACAGCAATTACAAGATTACAGCAATTACAAGATTACAGCAATTACAAGATTACAGCAATTACAAGATTACAAGGATTACAAGATTACAACAATTACAAGATTACAGCAATTACAAGATTACATAGATTACAAGATTACAGCAATTACAAGATTACAGCAATTACAAGATTACAGCAATTACAAGATTACATGGATTACAAGATTACATGGATTACAAGATTACATGGATTACAAGATTACAACAATTACAAGATTACAACAATTACAAGATTACAACAATTACAAGATTTACAGCAATTACAAGATTACAGCAATTACAAGATTACAGCAATTACAAGATTACAGCAATTACAAGATTACATGGATTACAAGATTACAGCAATTACAAGATTACAGCAATTACAAGATTACATGGATTACAAGATTACAACAATTACAAGATTACAGCAATTACAAGATTACAGCAATTACAAGATTACATGGATTACAAGATTACATGGATTACAAGATTACAGCAATTACAAGATTACAGCAATTACAAGATTACAGCAATTACAAGATTACAGCAATTACAAGATTACAGCAATTACAAGATTACAGCAATTACATGATTACAGCAATTACAAGATTACAGCAATTACAAGATTACAGCAATTACATGATTACAGCAATTACATGATTACAGCAATTACATGATTACAGCAATTACAAGATTACAGCAATTACATGATTACAGCAATTACAAGATTACAGCAATTACATGATTACAGCAATTACAAGATTACAGCAATTACATGATTACAGCAATTACAAGATTACAGCAATTACATGATTACAGCAATTACAAGATTACAGCAATTACAAGATTACAGCAATTACAAGATTACAGCAATTACAAGATTACAGCAATTACAAGATTACAGCAATTACAAGATTACAGCAATTACAAGATTACAAGGATTACAAGATTACAAGGCTAAGGATAGTAAAGGATATAGTGGGTTTCAGCGAGACATGGACCCGTTACCCGCCATCTTGAAAATAGTAGCAGCTGACCGAAAATATAATTAGTCTGCAGGCTCCTTCTGTTGTCATGTGTCCGAATTCAACACTCTTCTAGCCCGGCGTCATGAGAATTACTGTTGCGAGCTGTTTATATTATCAGTGACAAACTTTCTTAGTTTGGCCGTGATTCTGTATACATATATCGGAAATTCAAGAAAATACTAAGGAATATTTTAAATAATTTCTTTTTTGCATGTAAAAGGCTATCTATCTATCTATTTTGTTACAAATATTAATAAAAGAGGGTCTAGATGGGGGCGGGGCTGTCTGAAAATCAGTAAACGGTAAACATTTTGGTATTTTAACGGTAACAATAAGTAACATTTTGGTATTTTAACGGTAAGTCTTTGAAAAGTGTTCTGAAACGATAAACAGTATTTTTTTTTTCATGACTTACGCTAAATTTCTAGTGTTTTCACGACTGACGGTAACCGAAATTGAGTGAATCACGACTCACGATATACCCCATCAACACCCTCATAAAAGTCAAAGTGAAGCAAAACAACAAGCACGCGAAAATTACAATCACACGAAGATGATTGGTTGCTCAACTAATGGTTAATTGCTTCTCTCCACTACCATAAGGAAAACCTGACCCATTGTGGAACACATAGTATATACTCAGCCATCTGGTCAAAAGGATCGGTAATCTTTGAAATATGTTTTTGAGGAATACTACTTAGCGATGATATATTTTCCACGAGACCTCCCAAAGTATTTCAAGTATCGAATTTCAGGGAATCACCCATGCTCCTCGTTTTAAAGAAAAATACCTTTTTCAGTATTCCTGTGTTGTAATAATTCCTCATCGCTCTGAACAGTTTGTACTTGTCCATGTTCGGTTTATTTTTAACAGTTCCCCATAGCTTGGCGAGTTCATTGGCGTTTTTCAATGTAAATATTCCTTCAAGTTTGTTGGTCCAGGATAAAACTGAGGCACATTCATCGTCTTCCAATAAACCAAAGAGAAATTCCCAGAGATCAGTGGCGGCGCCAGGCTTCCAAATTTGGGGGGGCATTTGAGGGGCAAACTCAAATTTTGGGGGGGCAAGATAGAATTTTTAAAAAGGTCGCCCCCCAGGAAATCCCCCCCCCCCCCAAAACGTGGCAATATTCCTAGGAATATCGC